ATCTTGACATATGTAGTCTGGGCCGTAATATTCTGTCAAGAAGGTGGTTGAATGTAGATATGGTAAAATAATTTGTAGGGGTATCGGGCGAGTTTATAAAATTCTATCAGCACAGCTGAAGAAAGCGGGGAGATGAGGCTTGTTGTGTGACACTTAATAGACAACCTTGTAAGCCACCCGAACGCCCCCACCAGAACAAATACCCATTACCGGTACTCGAGTACTCGAGTACTGTACAAGCAGTGGGTTTTGTATGGGGGAACGACGGGTGATCAGCTGGAAATTATCTTGTTTGGGTTTAGGTGTCCGGGGCGTATCCGAGTGGGGGTGGGAAGCTAAGGTTCTATCCAATCATTTAGGGAGGGTACTGTACATGACTAATATGAGACATGTCTAGAGAACGCTGCTACTAAGTGACTGTAAGTTAGTAGTGTTTCGATATCGGGAGTCTCGAGAGTTTTCTGTCGTAAATCTCAGAGAGGGGGATAGACAGGAGGTAGCTGGGGTTTTGTGTGGATCTCATACCTCCAGTTTCTCGGCTGCGTATTGTTGCAGCTGAGCCGTCAGCCTGAATGCGTGCGGCTTCTAGATGGTATGCGAGGGAGGGGTATAGTGTGGACTGATAAGAGAGCAAAGTGGGCGGGAGAAACGAGAAGGATTTAGATAGGGTACTACAGCGACTCGGCAGAAGTGTTGTGATCTGAGAAATTTCTGTTGCCCTACGGGGGGCCATTCTGTACTACGGAGGACGGTGGGATTCTGAGCCCAAGAGTTGTCAGCAATTAACCACAATGGATAATGATAGTGATAATCCATTAGAAGGGGACAGTACTAGCCAATTGCGCAATGTTACTGATCGCTCAGGAGATCTTAGAGTTGGGGAAAGATAGTGGGTTGTGTGTTCGGTTGCAGTGGTTCCAGGCCTGTTGTTGTAGGTGGTTTCTTTTGTTCGGAAGTTATCGTCTCCAAATCTGCCTCTCCTTTGTCGTGGCGGGAGTGGGTAGGGGAGTGGGGACGTTCATTGAGGGAAGGAGATATATGTCGTATCCATAGAAGGATCAGGATGGTTCCGCTACGTTTTCACATACAGCACGCTCCTGTTCCTACTGCTGGGGTAGAGAGTGCCGAACAATGGAATAAAAGTTTATGACCACCTATTTCTTATTGGTATGATACCCGACAATTCTCAAGTTCATTCGGTTTCACTTACTGTATTCCTGTTCCACCTAGAAGATGGATATTTAGAGCGATAGCTGTATATTAATGGTTTTGTTCTCGCAAGAATGACATCAAATGCTAATGCTAGTTTCTACACATATCATACTTTGCATGTCATTTTCCCGACATACCATCGGAACCGACATTGCCCCCGACACCATTCTAATTTGGAGAGAAAAAAAACTCTAACGTCTCAAGTCTTTTCCGACTGAACTAGTATCTGTCTCGTCGCTTCTCTTCTCTTCTCTTTTTTTTTCTCGTCATTTATGTCCAAGTGTGGGGTTGCCGACCTCTTGTAATATCGGCAGGACCTCAAAATGGTAATCGGCGATCACTCGTACGGTATTTGGGTTAGTACTAAGCATATTTCCTTTACCTATGTGCGATCCCGTCATGGCCTACCCCCCGAATTGTTATTGCTCCCGATATGACTACGTATCCTGGGCATTCTTACCGGCTTACTTGTACTTGTGTAGTCCGAGCTTTACCTAGAAAGTGCCGAGTCATCGGATAGTGCAGGTATTTTCAGCAAGACGCATCCCAATCGAATATCACTATTCTGCTAACCAAATACTAACTATGCAAATTCCGCCCAAGGTTCAACGGATTTCTGCACCTGGACTTACAGATAACTCATTATGGTGTAGAATACCTAGAATACCTTACCTCTCACTTCACTATGAGCACACGCTTGCACAGATACTCCTGCAAAGTACAGCGCACTAGTCGGATAGTGGACGAAAGCGCCTCGACCGTGACTAGAACCAGACGAGATGCTATCAGCATCGGTAATGCAGGAATGTTTTCGCCATCCAGATCCGTCGATCCTACTCAAGGCATAGCCGACCTCCTCGGCCCCTATTGTCCGCTCCGAATACAACATCCACATGGGGACCTCCAGCCCGAGGATAGATTTTCTTAGCGTTGCTGTGTAGGCATCACTCGGTCCATTGCCCTTCGTCTTCTCTTCAAGTTTCTTCCTTCTCTCACGAATTGTCACCTCTCCTAGGTGAGAAATATTCTTGTCCAAGGGGACTCCCGAACAATATATCTCTCAGCAACAGAAGAAGTTCCGGCAGATGCTTCGCTAAGAATTCATCAAGCGCATCAATGCAGATGAAAAATTTGGTTAGTGAAGCCATCGCGATCCTGAGCATTCTCATCAGATCAGGAAACCTGAAGCTATTTCGGGGGCGTTGTCGCCTTGGATGTCCGGTTTCGGCTCGGCCGGACGAGTAGAAGTCTTGTTATGAATTACTTTATGACATGAGTTCATCCCTATCCCATGAGATAATCTTGGTCTGATTGTATATTAAAAGGTTGAAATATGACTTTCCGATATGTGTCGATTGTGTCTTCGATCACGACACAGTTTCTCTGTCGCGTTTTGCTGCTGTCCGAGTACGATAGTAACTACATCTGGATATGTATTAGTACTTGTGATGTCGTTGACTACGACAGACTTTATTCACAAGCGCTGTCGCTCGCTTTTGTTTTCCGTTATGCGATTCTGTTCTGGCTCAATTTCTCGCCTTCCACGCCGTACGCTTGATACTTTGCTGCATAAATAGGGGCCCGGGTGCCCCCTACAGGTGGTCAATCAAGCTCTTCAGTCTTCTCGCACAACAAGCCTCTTCTCTCTCAACAATCCTCCCGCATACCATACAATCTTCGCACACATTTCCAACACAAAACACATTTAGAACCTTCCTTTTACGAGACAAATTGTCTTTCTTTCTTTTTCTATATAATATTGGCTTGCACCCCACTGCCTCCCTCCCTCCCCAGACACGACCTCCTTTCATACAAGCAGTCTGCTGACAATGGAGACTGAGAAATCTGGGGGTGATGACATCAAGATAAATATTGAGTCTGATGGTCCTTCAAACCCGAAGAAATTAGTGGAAGAGAAAGATGAAAGGAGAGCGCGGAAGAATGTTAAGAAGGCGACTGATCAGAGGCCTGGGCTTGAAAATTATATGGTAATTAATCCTATCCCGTCTATTATTAGGAAGAACAGAAGAGGTGCTGACTGTGGCTAGAGGATTATGAGTTACGGAACTAGATTTGACAGAGGATTGCAGATTGTTGGCTGCTTAACCTCTGTTATCAGTGGAGCGATTTTGTGAGTTTTCTATTCATTATAGAGAATAAGACAGGCTGACAAAGATGGTGAAATAGTCCAATTGTGACTGTCTTCTTTGGGAAAATTGTGGATAACTTTTCTGAGTACTTTCAGACGGGATCTGGCGTTACTGTGGAGGAATTTAGGAGAAGGATTAATGGACTGAGGTAAGTTTCCTTCTCTTTATTATTCCTTTTTGAAACAGTTGATTTACTAATTAAACATATTAGTCTTATATTTGTCTACCTCTTTCTGGCCAAATTTGTGATGGGATATATATCTATGGTAAGTGAAATCAATCGGACTTATCCTGAGAATTCAGCTAATAATATTTTAAGGTCTGTTTTAGATATACAGCAGCACGCATCTCCACCTCAATCAGACAAGCCTATCTCAGAGCAGTCTTCAGCCAAGATCTTACCTTTTTCGACAATCTGGAGGATGAACCTATTCCTCAACCTCAACTCGACCTTTTAAAGGAACAAGACCTTCTTCCACCTACCAACAACAATGGAAGTCCTGGCACCATTGCTATTTGCATTACAACTATTACATCCCTGATTCAGGGAGGGATTGGTGAAAAGGTAGGAGGAATTTTGCAAGCAGTTGCCCAGATGATTTGTGGCTTTGCAATTGCTTTTTCAAGGCATTGCAAACTAGCAGGTGTCTGCTTTGCAGTGCTGCCAGCAATTTTTCTGGTACAGTTGCTATGTCTACCAGCTATGGCTAAATTTGAGCGTAGGATGGTTACCCAAGATGCACGAGCAGCTGATGTGGCTGAGGAGATACTTGCCAGTATCAGGACTGACATGTGAGCCCCCCGCCTTTTTTAGGC